CTTTCAGATCAAGCTGGGTGTGTTTCTGCTGATACAACATTCACAGGAACCTGGTGGATCTCCTGTGTGTGTCATAGCTATTTACTCTATTAGACAAGAGGCCCGCCCACTGATTTTTCCTATAATCCTCTGTTTTTTTTTGGCTTTTGTTTGATGTCTGAGTCACATACTTATTTTCTAGAAAAAAAAATTTCTTGAGATTAATTTGCATAAATTTTGCTTTATTTCCTTTAAGATACGTTTTCTTAACAGTGCATCTCTTAATTGTAGCATCTTCTCAACTTAGGATATATTGAGAATTTTAAAAACCATTGCTTCCTGGGCCCACCAAGTAGCTCAGTGGACTAAAGCGCCTGCTTAAGCAGGCACAGCTGTGGGGTTCCAGCCCCTGCCTGCCACGCTGGCCCCGACTCGGGTGTGCTGAGACAGCGAATGAGACGGGGTGTGGTGGTGTGGGCCTGTAATCCCAGTGCTTGGGAGGCTGAAAGCAGGAGGATCACTACGCGTCAGATTAGTGTAGTGAGACCCTGTAGACCCTGTGCTAAAATTACAAAAAAACCCCAAAGAAACAAACATTGCTTCTTGATTCCTTTCTGTTTAAAAGCAGTTTTCTTATGTGATAATTCCTTTCACTCAATTTAGTTGTAAAGTTTATAATTTAAATTTTTTTGTATATTTATGGCTATGTACAGCTACCACTAGTCAATTTTAGAACATTTTCATCGCCAGGAAAAGATCCATACTCTATAACCTATCATTCTCTTATATGCCCCTAAGTCCTAAACAATCACTAATGTGGTTTTAATTTCTATGCATTTGTCTATCTGGGGTCACTGAATAGTGATCTTTTGCACCTGGCCCTTTTCTCCTAGCAGAGTCTTTGGTGCACGTATAGTTTGCAGCCCATATCCGCTTTGTACCCTACTCTGTGGCTGAGGAATCCCACACTGTTAGGATAGTCTGAGAGTTGTTTATCTGCTCATCTGCTGCTGGCCAACTGGGCTATTTCCACTTTGGCTGCTGTGAGGAACGCCGCTATGATCATGCGCACATGGGCTTTGTTGGAACACCTGTTTGCAGTTCTGGGGCATATGCCCGCAGGAGGAGAGTTGCTGGGTCACTTGCTATCTCTGTCTCTTGCCCTTTTGGGAAACTGCCAGCTTTCCCAAGTGGCTGTATCATTTTACTTTTCAAACCCCCGGTGAAGGCAGGCTCAGCAGTCTCAGTATCCTCACTGACACTTGCTACTGTCTGATGCTCATAGTCATCCCAGCGGATGTGCAGGGGCAGCTCCATGTACCTTTGGCTCGAATTTGTTTGTAACTTGTAATGCTGCACATCCCTGAATGTGTTTTTTGGTCACCTGCGTGCCTTTCCTAGAAAAATGACTACTTAAGCCTTTTGCTTTTATTAAAAATTGGATTGATTTTTGTAGATATTTCTAAAAGTCCTTTGCTCTGGCTATGGGAATCTTATCAGATTTATGATTCATAAATACTTTCGCCCATTATGTGCCTTATCTTTTTGCTTTCTTGATAGTGTTTGATATGCAAGAGTTTTTAATTTTAATGAAGCATAATTTATCTATTTTGTGATTGTTCTTGTCCTTTGGGCTTTTGTTGTCAGACTAAGAAACCACTGCTGAATCCAAGGCTCTGAAGAGTCACTCTTGTGTTTCTTCCAAGAGTCTGGAAATTTTTACTTTTAATTTCATGCCTTTGATCCAAGTTGAGCTAATTTTATAAGCAACACAATGGGTCCAACTTTATTATTTCTCATGTGACTATTCAGTTTTGCAGTATTATTTGTTGAAAAGACCATGTTCTCTAATTAAATGCTTTGATATTCTTGTTGAAAATCAGTCATGGGTGTAATTTTGTGGTCTCAACTGTTTTCCATCCATCTGTTGGTCTATCTGTGAAATTGCAGGTGAGATTACAGGTGTGCACCATGACTCCAGGCGAACGATTTGCTCTTAAAGCACAATTGAGTAATGGAACAGTCAGGATCAGACATTGCAGTAGGAACTGAAGATGACTGGGAACATATGGAGTCCAAACTAGGGAGGACACAGGCAAGTGGGCATTAGGGGGCTGGCGGGAAATAAGGGGTATATGCCAGCTCACAGCAGGGTGTGTGAGCCCAAAGATTTCAGGCAAGGGGTCCTGGGAGAAGTCATATTGAGCTGCGTCTTCAGCTTTATGGGGGGTTTCCAGGTCAAAGGGCAGAAGTGGAGGTCCAGGCAGAGGAAGTCACAAACGGGACAGCTGGGACAGCTCCGATCAGCCCAAAAGGAGGACTCCTGCACTTTGCACATTTCTGTAAGGAGCCAGCCGTGCACGCAGGGCCTGAAAGGCCTGATGGGACTTCACAGAATGGCACTGAGGCAGCACAGCAGGTCTTAGGCGGGGACAAGGCAGGTGCAGGATTCCACCGCTTTCCGATGGCTCCTGAAGAGTTTCTGCGAAGATGAAAAGCTTCTTACACTGATGAGGACACTGTATTGAGCGTGAACCTTTGCATGGACCAGGCACCTGAAAATAACTTCCGGGGTAACTGATGTTCTGCATCTCTGTGAAACACTGGCTTTGAAACTCACATGATTAGTAGGATTCACCTTTGTGAGTGTCCACTTGTTTTTATTCCCACAAGGTGCTTTGTGTGTGTGTGTGTGTGTGTGTGTGTGTGCACACGTGTGTGTGCCAAAAGGTGATGTTATGTTTTCCCCCAAATTTCTTTTCTTTGACAGTTCTATGTTACAAGAAAGAATAAAATATGGGTGTCAGAACAATTGTGCCTATGAAAGCAAAATTTATTAAATTTACCAAACATGTGTGTGAGAAAACTGTAAAAACAGGGAAATGAACATAGATGCACTGGCATTCAAATTGTTTTTCCAAGGTGTTTCAGAATTCTTTGCACCTACACTAAAACTACAACTGATAAGCGTGTGCGATGATTGTGACGTGTGACTCAAACTCTAGGACGTGGTTAGGTGCTCAGAATTGTTGTCCTTTTAGAATAGTTTAAAAAATATATTTGGTACAGGTATAGGGTCTCACTATGTAGATCAGACTCCCAAGAGCTGGGATTGCAGGCCCCGGGGCCAGCACGGCATGCCGGGGATCAAACTCTGGAAGCTGCGCTCTGCCTAAGCAGGTGCTTTACTCCGCTGAGCTATTTCGCTGGCCCTTAGAATATGTTTTTAAAACTGTATTTGTATTAATGTCTATTAATTTCACAAAATATATCAGTGCCTCCATTATCCTCTTTTTCCAACTCCTTCCCTCCCCCTCCTCCTTTGTCTTTTTTTTTTTTTTTTTAGCCAGGGTCTCTCACTGTGTAGCTGAGGCTGGTCTTGATCCTTTTGCCTCAGCCTCCGAGTGCTGGGGTCACCCGTGTGCGCCCCCTTGCCTGGACATCTTTTGTCTCGCAATAGTCTCTCTTCCACTTTCCTGTTTTGTGCTTTAGATTAGGGAGAACATTGGATATCTAACTTTCCGACTCGGGCTTGTTTTGCAAAGAAATGTTGTTGGCCCTTTATCAAGATTGGTGAATAAATATAATTTACTTATTTTATGACAAAGTAGTTCATGATACAGTTAAGATACTGGTTTTATGTATTTCAACCACCTTTTTGGAGTCACCAGTTTCGAGCTTTAATTCCATGCAATAAGAAAGCTTTTGTATACTGCAGAGGACTTAAGCACTGACTGTATGCATTTCAAAGAATTTAAAATGCATATAACTGCTTGAGGTGGACAAAGCGTCTCTTTTAATAAGTCCACAGGCTCGAAAGCCTTCTGCGCAGCGCTAGGTTTCAGATGTTCTGCCTGCATCAGGTCTGCTACGCTAAACGGAAGACACAGCACTGCACCCGCCCATCACGACAGCGTCACCTCTGCAGAAAGGCACAAAGCAGCCTCCTGAGCCATTCCCGTTTTCCTTTCTCCTTCAGGGTCCAGAGGTAACTTGGAGGAGGTTGCAGCAGAAGGGTTCGTGGAGGCCAAGACGGCCCCCAACTTCCCGGAGTCCTCGAGGCCTCCAGTTCCCGCGCTGCACCCAAGATTTGCGAAGCGCGTGGGCAGCGGGACTTATTCCAGTCACTTGATTAAAGCACGGTGCACATGGAAGGCCTGGCTAAGCGCGGGGGAAACTTATTTTCACACAAATGAAAAGTGTACTGAAGCCCATTTTGTGATGTAGCCAGGAATTGCCACCCACGCAGAAAAAGGAAGCTTATTCAAAATCTGGGAAGCCGCTGCCCAAATTCTCGTTAGGCAACGATGGCGGTGATACTGCACAACAGACTGGGTTTGTTACAAGAGTTGTGCACGGTGGGCACCCCTGTAATCCGAGCACTCTCCCAGCACCATGCAAGGCTGAGTCAGGAGGGTCGCAAGTCTGAGCACCGCCTTGGCAATTCAGCCAAACCGTGTAAGAAAATGAATGAATGAATGATATAAAAGGCTAGGGGTGCAGCTCAATATGGAGGCCTGGATTCAGTCCTCACTACCTAGAAAACCGGGGTCCGGTGGGAGAAATGGTTTGCTCGCTGCAGATTTCCCCGCCGCCTCTCACGGACGCCAGGGGATGCCAGCTCCCGGCCGCAGCAGGGCTCCCCGCCCTCGTTTGGGATTGCGCCCCGCCCGCCGGCATCACGTGGGCGCGAAGCACACTCCCGCCTCGGCCTCCCCC